TTTGAAAATTTTTTTTGAGTGGAGATCTCCGGAGATCTCCACCAAAAAAATTTCCTGATGACATTTTCTGATATAAAAGTTTTCTTCGATATCCATGTTCCTGATGACCAAAATATTAATATATTCGAAACTGGAATAAAAAATATTATTGCCAATGGAAAAGATGACGAAGAGGAAACTGTAAATATGACTGAATTCTGGACAGAACATATAAAAGCGTTTCCTATTCGCGGTTATTACAAAGAAAAAAAATCATATGTTCGTATTATTACAACTACTAGTAAATAAAGATCAATCGCTCTTAATATTATCCTAAAATATAATTCAGAAATCACATCATTCAATATAGATAAATCTAAGCTGGAAACCATATCAAACGATTTGAGCGCATATTATCGAAAATTTGCTAGAGAATATAAAATTCCACTCTCTAGATGGATTTTATTAACTAATTATGAATATAATAGCCATAGAATGCCTTATAGTACCCGTTTACCTCTTTGTGAACATGCTTTTTATTTATCTATTAATGATTTCCATAGTGTAAATGATTTTTCAATATTATATAAAACATACCCTTCTTAACTTATTACTCATGATCAAGCATTAGTTATGACCTGGGATATAGAAACATATACAACGCATGGACTAGAGTACCTACCTGAGGCTCGATATAAAGAAGATAACATATTCATGATTGGTTTAACTATCCACTGGAAAGATGATCCTATCCTATTAAAACAAATCTGCTTTGTTGATGTAGAAATAGCGCCAGATCCAAATTGGATTACAATTGTTTGTGGAAATGAAAAAAATCTGTTAAAAGCATTTGTTCTATGCTGGCGGGCTTTAGCTCCTGATATCGAACTTATATTTAATGGTTCTAAATATGACTGGCCATTTGTAGTAAAAAGAGCTATCCAGCAAAAAATTCTAGATTGGATGGTATCAAAAATGTCAGCAAATTCTTGAAAAAAAGCTACAATCGATTCTATTCTTCGTTGAAATTATTATGATGAAGTAGGTAAATCCTTCTATAAGGATTTCTTTTATAAAGAACACATACATATAAAGGAAGATAAGGAAAATAAAAAAATAAGAAATCGTAAAGAAATTGAAATCAAGATTACTCCAGAAGAAGGTTTCATATCTACTTTCCTTAAAATCCCAGGATGTGTTCCAATTGATGTTGTAGTATGCTTTAAAAAACTTTATCCAAAATCTGAGAAAAAATTGCTCAACTATTTCTTAAAAATACATGATCCTGATAGTAAAATAGATTTACCCATAAAAGTTATGAGGGAATATTATATACGAAGCAAAGAGAAAACCACACTTGAGACTGTTGAAAATATACATAAAATTGCTAAGTATTGCATTATTGATTCTTTTAGTTGTCAAAGCCTTATGGTTAAGAGAAACGTAATAAATAATTACAGAGAGGTGGCCTCAATTGCATATGTTTCTTTATTTGATTTACATTACTATGCAGGGGGTATAAAGGTATATAATCTATTAGATGCTGAAGTGTGGAAAAGAGATATATTGATTACTATAATTTCTTTCGAATGGATAGAAAAAAGATCAATTCCTGGAGCCTATGTATTCTCTCCAGATAAGGGTCTAGAAAACAAACGTCCTGTTACAGGTTTAGATTTCGTATCATTATATCCAAGTATTATTATGAATTATAATCTCTCACCAGAAACAATAACTCTATTAACAAAAGAGGCGAGTATATTAGAAAAGGCAGGAGAAATCCTCTATAAAATCAAGTTTCCTTTTAATGGCTGAATTTTACATGCATAATCTATAAGACATGAAAATAAAAATAATAAAATGGAGTTATATCCATCAGTTTTAAAAGAGCTCCTTAATAAATGAAATAAAATGAAAGCTTAATTGGAAATATTTAGCAATATAAAAGAGTATATGAAATTAGTAAATAGTAAAATAAAAGAGAAGAATTTATTAGTGGCTAATGCTATTGATCATATTCTAAGAAATGCCGAAGATAAAGAAAAACGTGCCAATATGAATGAAATCTTGATTCCTCTTATCAATGAAACCTATGAAAATTTTAAAATAAAATATAATTCCATCTGCTTTGATCACACCTGCTTAGATCCAAAACAAAAAGCAGTAAAATATATATGAATACTTTCTATGGGGAAGCAGGTAATAGTCTATTCCCATTTTTCTTCCTAAATTGGCTGGTGGTGTCACATTGGCAGGACAATACAACATTAAACTTGTTGCTGAGTATGTAACTAAGAAGAAAGGTTTTGGAATCAAATATAGAGATACCGATTCTTTTGTATCTCACTTGTTCTGCTAAATGTTATAAAGAATGCGAACTCACTTATAATAATAGTAAAGATACAATTTCAAAGTTGAAATATTGGATCAAAATGGTTAAAATTATCATGAAAGTAATGGAGAAATTACATAACGATGTGAATATATATCTTAGAATAAAGAATAGATCGACCTATCTTAAAATGGCTTATGAAAAAGTTTTATTTCCAATAATATTTACCGATAAAAAAAAATATTTCAAAATACCACATAAAAAAGTTCCAAACTTCAAGCCAAAAGAACTTTTTATTAAAGGTATTAATACGGTGAAGCAAAGTAAATCCCAACTTTTCAAAACTATAGGAAATTGAATTATGTGGAGTGCGATGGATATTAACAATAATCAAACACTTCATGAGATTGTTGAAAAGGTTCTTAAAGAGGCTATAACCAATTCTAATCAATAGAATTTTGATCAGTTTATAGAAACTAATGCATGGAAACCTAATGTAGATAATAAACGTGTCCAATGATTTATAGGGTGGATGTGAGAAAAATATGAAAGCAAGATTTCTGATTCTGAGGATCACTTTAGTTATGTAATAATCCATCCTGATAAAATCTTCAATTTATCTGGTTTTAAGCTCACAATAAGAAAGGCTGATCAAATGGAATTCACAGATGTTGCAAAAGAATTAAATAAGAAATTGGATTTATCTCATTACTTCGAAAATACCATTAATGGACTTTGTGCCTGATTTATTATGTATAATAAAAAATACAAACCACTATTTACTGACAAAATCATGAAAATTACTGATTCAGATGAGAAATATAAACAGGTTGACACATATGCTCAAAATAAGGTCAAGAAGTGGCTCGAGTCATATATTAAGAAGATAAATATGATAAATGAAATCACTCCTAAAATAATATCTAATCGTGGATATGCTTACAAACGCGCTTACAAGAATGCAATCAAAACTGTACAATCAATATTATATCAGAAGATAGGCAATACCTACAAGATATTTCATAGGGAATGACTTAGTTTTGAGGATTTTAAGGTGACTAATACTGTTGAGAAATTATGGAAAAATTTTATAGAGTATGCCAAAGCATATACCGAAAATGATAATCTTTTGGTAAGTGATAAAATAAAAGAATCTATATACTCTGATTTTGAAAAACATCTAAATATACTTATCCCAATTATCAAGAAATATAATGTTTTCTTCCATAAGTTGGTATATCATATGTAATATAAGGAGCATATATCAATTCCAGATAAAATTGGTTAACTTGAGACTATAAGAAAAAAAGAGATTATTACTAAGCAACCTACCTTATCCAATATAACGAAAGCTGATTAAAGGACACTTGACGATTTTCTAAATACATGGAATAAGACAGTTAGCTCATTATATTCTAAAGATATTGAGTCTTGTCCATAAATATATTTCCAAATATACCTAATACCTATACAATGTAATAATAGTTTTTCATATATAAATAATACCCAAGTTCAAACAGACAGCATGTTATCCAATCCATGTATCCTATAATCGCTTATTTTTCCTCTCAAATCCCCACGTACGTCTCAATATAACGAACCTTATAACTGCAATAATTAACAGGATAAGAAAAATATATGCTAATAAAGATGAGATTAAAGTACTTGCCACAACAGGAATTGCTCCTATCCCTCCTACTGGAATCTGGAAATTCAATTTAATCAAAGAGAACATATGTGCTTTAGCACTAGCTCCACTATTATTTTCCGGCTATGCAAGATATGGAGTCATCTTATCAGATATAATTGGGAGTATATTAGGTTTTATTAATATATCTAGTATATTGTCTTTGTTAGTTTCGTTAATATCGGTTTCATAACTTATCTGGGGTTTGATTTTTGTATCAGCTTTTGATAGTTCAATAATTTCATTATCAGTATGAGCTAGCACAACAGCAGGACTTATAGTATCATTTTTTTCTGCCTGATTCATATTTTTTCTTCGTACCAAATATTTACTGAGATCAGTACTATCCAAAAATATATGTGCTTTAGCACTAACTTCGTTATTATCAGACTTATTAATATTTTTTTCGTCATTTCCACCAGCTACAGGATTTGATATAGCCTCTAATTTCAGATGCTCAAGCTTACTAACTAATGAAGCTAACTTCTGATCTAGTTTAGTTATTTTAGATTTGAGAGATAATATCTCAGAATCTTTTTTAGTAGAATCTTTCTGGACCATAATCATATCTTTTTGGGCCAAAGATAACTTACCTTCCAATATTTTTTTCATAGACCGAAGTGCTGTAATTTCCTTGGATTTTATATCAATCTTGAATTTAGAATTGGTAAGAGAAATAGATTTGCTAGCATTTTCAAACCGCAAGTTTTGATTCTCGATAACAACCTTCTCTAGTTTTTTTACTTCACTTCTTTCTATCCTGATCCCATTTATTCCTTCCCTGGTTAAAATCTTTTTCTTGTTTTTTGTATTTACCCCGCAATTTAGCATTATCTGAAAGAATCTCAAAAGAATCTTGGAAAACATCATATAATTCTTTCTTAAGATCTATTGTATTAGTTATATTAAATAAAAAGAAATATTATAGAAAATATCAAAATATGGGACATATATATGACCTATCTAGTAATGTTATCGAATAAATTATACTTTTAATATAATTCAACAATAATTTTCGATAATTTTTTATAATTATAGAAGAATGGAACATATAACTGTAGAGTATTATCGCGCCGGTACTTCTTATATATCACCAGAAGGTATTGAGGAAATCATTCAATCACGAGGAACAGTTAAAAATACATGCAGAGTGATGGCTGATAGATATAGTACTTCAACTTGTAGAATATATGAAATTTGGAAAAACATGCTGAGGGAATACTCTTGCGCAAACAGCAACCAATACATAGTGTTGTTTCTTCCAAAATAATACCCGAAAATAATACTTCGAATAGAAAGCCAAGGAAAAAAAAACCAGGATCTGGTTTCAAATCTGATTTAGTCAATATTCCAATAAAAAAAGTAGATTTAGAGAGCTATGATTCAAAAAATCATCTAATGGCCTGCTCTGTAATAGATGAAATCGATGACTTACAGGTTAGGCTTACACAAAATCGCAGAGAAAAAGAAAAAGCAAAACGTGAAATGAAAAGAGTCTTAGATTCCAACTAATCTATTTTTATGGACCTGTAGTTTTTTATTAAGCTCAATTAATTCAGTATTGGATGCAAGTACCTTATATAGTGATTTTTCCAGCTTCTCATAGCTTATGCATTTTTTTTTAATATTGAATCATCAGAATCTAGAGGTAGAGTCTCATCCCCATCTATATCCTGGTAAATTTGATCAGATATTAAAAGCTTATCATTCTGAGATGCTGTAGCACAATTTACTTCGAGTTTATTCTTGACTTTGTGCATGTTTATAGGAATAAAATACTCTTTACCATTACATATGAGTTTTAATTCTTGTTTCAACACTAGCAAATCATAATCATATTTGTCTAGGAGAGTATTTGGCAAAATTAGCATTGGCTTGTGATGTTTAACAACAGCAAAATCAGAATAAATAGTATAGCCTGAAGTGAAAATTATTGGAATATTATGAACAATTCCAATGGATTCAATAGGGGATGTAGTAATTCCACTAAGATTGTGTTTTTCTTTTGTATCGATTATAAATTTTAAATGTTTAACAATATCTTCTGTGATAATTGGAAAATTTGCACTGGGGTCGACTGTGGCCGCCGGAATTACTAATCATTTAATTTTGCATTTTGTAGTTACGACATCTATAGCTGAATCTTTTTTTTAAACGAAATCTATTTCCATAGGATCATCTAGCATTTTATCCTCCCCATCGGAATCAGGTATTTCTGAAGCTGGATTTCGATAATTCATAAAATCAGGTCTGGTAACAGATAAATTCGTGTTATTAATATTGTTTCTAATTGTTTTTATAACCTCTGGATTATTAAACATTGCTAGAATAATTTCTCGAATTTGTGAATTGATAATCGTACCTTATTTCTTTTGTGAAGTATGCTGAATTGAAGATTCGAGACTCTGCCTTTTCTTTGAAGTAGACTTCTTTTTAGAAGACAATTTACTCTTTGGCTTTACTTTTTTTTTTATTTAACAGCATTTATAATTTTCACGATGTCATCTTCAGTAAAGTCATTCTTAGAATCTGATTCTGATTCAGAACCAGAACTAGACACAAAGTCGGAATTGAAATTATTATTAGATAAGTCTGTATCTGAACTAGAATCAGAATCCACAATAATCTTATTGACATTATCTTTCTTTTTAGGTCTGTTCTTTTTTTTATTTTTTGAACATTTAGAAGAATTTGAACGATAACCAATTTTATGGCATTCTAAGCAACGGTATTGTAACTTCATAGCTTTTTTAACAGCTCTGGCTGCATGTAAATTTAATTGTCTTTGTATAAGATTAGCCAGTTCTTCATCAGAATCGACTTCATTATTTTTTATTACCAGTTTTGGAGGTAAACCAGGTTTAGGAATAGAAACGAATTCTGGAATTTCTCCAGTAATTCATTGTAAAAATCTACCAATATTTGTATTCTGTACAATCTGATATGTTCCTGAAGGTTGTGGTCCATAGTAATGTTTAGATGGTTGTATTTGTTGAGAAATGGGTTGCGAAGAAATAGGCCGGAATTGTATAGATGCCATTGTACTTTTTATTAGATTTTCAATTTCTTCTTTGGTCATACTTGTATTATTCATTATATAAGGATCTTTTATATTAGTTGTAGATCGTAAATGAGAAGTGACTGGATGAGAATTGAAATCGTATTGCCCTAATATCAATTCAGCTTTCTGTCTTTCAATTTGTTCTAATTTTGGTAATAAAGTGGAAATTGGATTTTCAATATCAATATGTCTTACTTCTAATTTATTGTCAGGAGAAAGACCTTGAAAGAATTGTTGTCTAATCATTTCTTCCCGATTTAATGCTGGGAGTATTGGATAAGCAAGTACAACTATTCTTTTTAATTGTGCATAGAATCGGCCTATAGGATCAGTTCCTTGAGTAATATTATTAAATACAACTTTTATTTTTCAGTGGTAATCGTTGGATAATTTGTTCTGAGCCAGTATATTACTTGTCCAATACGAATACCAGGAGCAATAGTATTACCTCCTGCATTAGCATTGGGAGCATTGGAGGCTAAATCTGTTGGTTGTCTACCAGCTATTGACCAATCTTCATAGAAAACAATATGTGCTGGCACTAATGGTATAGCAATTGCATTATTGTCAGTTGGAACTGTATTTCTTATTTGAAGAGCTCTGCCTTTAAACTGATTAGCATTGATATTATGCAATGCATTATTGTTAGCTAATCCATTAATAGCTCCAAAATTGGCCAAGTTAGTATTATCGCTAATATTTTGCAATTCCCAATTTTTATTCTTGAGACTTGTTTCATACCAATCTTTTGCATCACCTTTCAAACAAGTCTTAAAAAGTCCATGAATTCTTACTCTGGTTCGAGTATTTGCAAGTGGATCAAGTCTAGATACTTTACAATATTGCCTAAAATCTTTAATCCATTCTTTAGAATCTTCTCCAGCTTTTTTGTAAAATAGAAGTGGTGCATATTCTGCCATTCTTCTATATTGGTTATTTATAGGTTGATTATTGTGTAGTAATAAAATTTGGACTTGTAAATTCAAAATTAATTGACGTTGTGCAAATTTTTCTGTCAATAATGCAACATTACATCTTTTTTGTGCTCGGATGATTAATCGCCTATATAATTCATGAGATCTTATAATAGTGCTTTTATTTTTTCACTTTTGATATCTGGCTATAAGTTGATCACGCAAATATTCTAACATAGCCTCATTAGCATAATATTCTTGTAAATCTCTTTCAGCTTGATATGCTCTATTTCTATAAATAATATATCGTCGATAAATCCATTGAAAATTATTTAAAGCTCTGCATCTAGCTCCAACATATGTTAAACCTAAAATATGCAAGTGCTCTTTTAACTCGTTATATTCATTTTCCAGTTTTACAAAAATTTTAGATACTTCTTCATAATCTATTGATTGGTCTTCAAAGTTTTACTGAGTTTTCAATAATTCCCTTTAAATATCAATTATGGATTCTATTAATTTATAATTTTCAGTACGATATAAATCTAATTGGTCTTGAATAGTCTGATTTTTTTTTGCCAATTCATTGGAAAAATCCTGTTGATTTCGGATTATATCTACTTGCTCATTTATAGTTTGTTGTTGAACAAATAGATGGGTTTCATTTTCTTCAATAATATCTTCTCTTAGGCTACTAATCTCATAGTTATATTTATTTTCGATTTGAGCTATTCTCAATTCAGTTTGTGTTTGAAGATTATCAATTTCATCAGAAAGTAATGGGTCACTATTTCCTCTATAACAATCAGCTAAATATTTAAAATTATCTTGGACCTTAATCAATAATATAGGAATTATTTCAAAACTACTGGCTATATTACTTGACATTCGAATATTTTGGTATAATTGTTGGATTCTATGTTGAAGTAAAGATATTTCATTACTCATTTCTAGTAATTGTGACTCAAGAAAAATATTATTTTTATCCTTACATCCAATGTCTTGTAATGCCTGTTTGAGGTGTTTCTTAAGATTCGCATTTTCTGATTTAAAAATTTCAATTTCATTATCCTGACTAGTAATCTGTTTTTCAAGAAATAAAATATAATCCTCGGCCTGAGACAATTTATATTCCAATTTTTGAATTTGTGCTTCAAGAGAGGTCATCAAAATTTATTCTAGTTTACAATATAATAAGTAATATCAAAGATAAGTAAATTGAGCAAGCCCATTATTAAAATCGACCCATATGAAGAATTAAACTTAATATGTAAATTGTTTTTTTATCAACCCACTGGTTACCATTCCAATGCTCAAAAATTATATAAAGATCTCAAGAAGAAAGGATATAATTTTTCATATAAAAAAGTTCGAAAATGGTTGCATAATCAGAATAAATGGCAAAAGTATACTCCGTTATCAAAAAACATTCCACAGGTAAGTTATGGAAAAATTTCACATTCAAACTGTATACATATGTGTGATTTGTTGTGCCTTACAAATGATATCATTATTAAAAAAACATATAAATGAGCACTTACTGTTATAGACATTGCATCTCGTTTTAAATATGCTGTTCCTCTAACTTTAAAAAACAGTTCAGAGGTAGCCAAGGCATTTAAGAAAATTTATTACAACCCAAATATCTCTTTTACCTGGCCTGATTTATTATAATTTGATGGTGGTAGAGAATTTATGGGTGAAACTTCCAAGCTTATGCAAGAACATAATGTAATAATACGAGTCATTGGTATGTACAGTCATCGTGGCATGGCCATTGTGAAATGATTTAATAAAACTCTAGCGAAAATATTACATAAAGTCCAATATGCCATTGAAAGTCTAACTTCGAATTCTAAATTAATAAGAGAGTGGGTTAAGTATTTGCCAGGGATTATTAATTACCTAAACAATTATCCGACACATCTCATTCGAGCTCCAGGCTCATTAAAATAGGGATTGGCTCCAGCAAAAGCTATCAAACTAGAATGAGTAGAATCTAGATCATCTACAAAGTATAAGCATCTGGTTGGAAAATAGGAGGAGAATAGGTTGAAGAAAGATGATATAGTCTGTTATTTGTTAGCCAATGGAAAGTGGAAAGGTGGTATAGAAAATTAGAAAAGAGCTACAGACCCGACGTTTTCACATAGTCTTCATAAAATCTGCAAAATTGTTATAACGAAAAATAAACCAATTTTATATTATCTCGGAAGCAATGACGATGAATATCTTCCAAAGCAGGGATTTGTACATGAAAAGCTGATACACATAGATCTAGAAAAACTTCAGTATCCGCCCCAGAGTATATTGGAAGAAAATACTCATTCCAGGTCTGTTAATTCCATTCATATTATTAATAAAATAGCTAAGGCGCAAGCTTATGCTAAGAAGCGCAGTGGGGAATGTCTTGGTAAAATTAATCAAATAAATGGTTATGATGTATATCTTTGGACATGTGGATCCCATCAATGATATGCACCTTATAAAATCCAGAAGTGGAAATTCGAATGGTGTCCAGTTTGTCTGCATCCTTCTACTAATGAATGCAGATGTCGATATATTTTTGAGGATTTGTTAGGTAAAAAATTCCCATCTTGTAAACTGTCATTTTTGAATGGAATGCAATTGGATGGGTATAATGAAGAACTAAAATTGGTGTGGAAATATAATGGGGTCTAGTATTATTCTCAGAATTCAATGTTTCATAAATGAGAAGAAATAAATTTAGATTCACAAAGGAAGCGTGATCAAAAAAAGCTGGATATATGCAAAGAGTGAAATATAGATCTTATTTGTATCCCATTTGATTGTGATTTATTTCCCTATATAAAAAGCAAAATACAAGAGAAAGGTTATTTATCATATAAAAAATAAATATTGCTTATCCTGGTTAGAATAGAAGATAAAGGCATGTCCATATTTGTATACAATATCGATGAGACATCTAACAATTTCTCAGAACAAATGAAAGGTAATAAATATTCACCAGAGGGTCCATTCAAATTGCTGATATATGGAGGATCCAATAGCAGAAAAACCAATATGATAATTAATCTTATGCTAGGTAATAAATTACAGCGAATATTTAAAGGTAAGAAAGGAAATCGATATATCAAAAACAATGATCTTGTATTAATAGGCAAGCATTTTGAGCCAAAATGGCAACTTATACAAAATAGCTTTCAGATCTTTGCAAATGCGCCTAAACCATATTGAGAAGATGTTACATTTAAAAGGATATCTCCAGACAAAATTTCAGATATAACCAAATTCTCATCAGATCAAAGTACAGTTATTGTATTCGAGAATCTATGTGCCAAATCGAAAAAAGTACAAGAACAAATTATTCCTTACTTCATTAGTGGCTGGCACCAAAATATATTACCAATATATGTGTCACAAAAATATACACAAACACCTAAAATAATCTGTGAAAATTTAAGCCATCTTATACTATTTAATAATAGGGGATCCCGAGAAGATCTCATTCGAATTTTGCGTCAGTTTGTAGATGATCCTAAAAAAACATCCAAAATAATTGATAAACTTTTGCAAAATTGAGAATTTGTAGTTTTTGATTTTACTAAGACAGTAGACGATCTTCTAGCAGTTAGACTCAGTTGGGACACTCCTCTGAAATTAGATGAATAAAACAAGACATATTCATTGGATAAACAAGTATTTTTTTTCTTTTTTTTTTTTTTTTTATCACAAAAAGGCATTAAATGCGAGACATTTATTAAACATTAGTTTATCGTCATTACATTAACAATCTTTAAAATACATAGAAATTAAATTAATTGTAGCCTATTGCAACTTTTACAATTAGTACGCATTGGCACCAAGTAGGTGTTTTCATACTAAAGGT